CCAGTCCATACAGGCCGTGTGTGGCCGGCCTCAACCAGCAATCCCTCAGCCTCTGCGGTCATGCTGCGCTAGTCCTTTTCCGGGTACCCCAAGAATAAATCAACTTACACAGCGTGGACCGCTAAGACGTAACAACAGACCAAACACTTCCAAGAGCACACGAAGCCCTCCTGACCATCCTCCTCCTATATCTCTGTCACCCTAATCATCTTGTTTTTCTCCTGTTAGTATTATTCTACAGGATCGTGACTCATCTTCATTTCATTCTGTGACCGCAAATGACGACGAAAGCCAGAAAGAAACTCCAGACAGCCTCTTGAAATCACGTAGCCAACCTAAGGATCCCCTGCCAAATCGAACAACAGGCATCACTAGCCAGAACACTGTTATCCCAAGCCGTAGATGCATGCTATGTTTCGTTGACACGCATACAAGACTCGAATGTGGTCATTCACTTAACCTCACGCGGCGAACAAGATGAATCGGGGAAATTCACCTTAATGGTGTTAGGAAACTCATTGACGAGTTCACGAGGACTCGCAGATGTAGGGATAGCACTGAGTGTCAGGGAAGAAACATCACTTCTTGAATGGATCCCAGTAGATAGTTGTATGTGTGCGGTCCGTCTGAAAGGGTCCATTAGAAGAAGGGAGAATGGTGTTTCCCGTCGTTGTCTTTCCATAGTCTCCACCTATGCCCTAACCGACTGCAATTCGGATGAAATAAAGGATGATTTTTACCTGAAACTGTCTAATTTGCTGCTAAAAGCAAGACGTTCAGATATGGTTGTTTTAGCAGGCGACCATTAATGCCCAAGTAGGGAAGTTGTGATAGACTGAGAAGTATGTAGGTGGTACGTATGGAGTTCCCTGCCGACGAACCGACAACGGTGATCGTCTTCTACAGTTCTGCTCAGATAATCATCTGTTCCTAGTCAGCATTAACTTTAGGCACAACGAGAGACGACGCCTATCCCGATGACTTTCATCACCAAATTAACGTTAGACGCAAACAGACCACATAGCGATAGGATATCGTTGGCGAGATTGAGAGGAAGACTGCCGCTCCTTTTGGAACACATGCGTCGACTTCGGTTACTCCCTGGTTCGCGTACGTTTATGCTAACGATTAAGCGAACATAAGAAATTGCTGGCAGCGTAGCAGTTACGTCCCCGACTAGGTTGAGACACTGAATCCTTGTTTAAGGAAGAAATAGCGGTACGTGTTTCTGAGGTCGACAGCAGGACTTCCCTTGAGGTAGGCTGGCACAACATACAGTTAGCTGTAGCTCATCCGAACTGATAGACGCAAGAAGACTTATTCCGTCGAGCTCCGCTTATGGTGAGGAGTGAAAGCTACTCAGACGCAAACTAAAAGGAAGCCTTCGTAACGACCATGAACGGCGGTGGGCGGCCAAATTTAAAAAGATGGAAAAGTCATTGGCCGTTGGTTACATCGGATAACTACATAGGCTTATCAAGGAAACAGGTGGCAAAAGGCAAATGATAAGTGAAACAATCTCTGAGAAAAATGGCACTCTAATTAGCTCCCCGGATAGACGACTGGAACTCCGGAAAGAACACTTTGAGGAGCAGTTTAATTGGCTTGCAGCCACACTTAACTTACCGGACATTCAACACCTCCCCGAATAGGATATAGACACAGGTCCGCCGTCCCTAACTGAGGTTACTGAGGTTGTCACTAATCTGAAACAAGACAAAGCGGCGAGACCTGAAGGATTGACTCAGGAGGTGCTCAAGGACGGTGTAGACAGTTTACTGTCCGCATTAACTATGGTACTAGGCAGCGTTTCGATATCAGAGGAAGTCTCATCGGGCTGGTGTAAGTCACTGATTATCCCGATATACAAGAAGCAAGACAAGTCTTCCTGTGGTAATCACAGGGGCATTAGCTTGACTAATAATAATGCGTAGTTTAAGTGGTGCTGGGGAGAAACAAATACGAGAGGACCAGGCAGGCTTTAGACCAAGAAGGGGTTGTATCGGTCATATCTTCACCCTTCAACGGATTCTGGAACATAAGCATACTACTGGCGTCCAACAGTCGTTGTATTTACTGACCTGAAGGCGGTATTGTATTCCGTCGACCGGGGTATAATACTAATATGGTATACATTTACTCCAATATGTGTATGTAGTATGTCGATGTTTGGCTGTGAAGGGAATACAGCGAGAATACATTACATTGATCAAGGCACTGTGACAGAACTCGTGCAGTCAGCCAGGTAATAGTTTACGAGTTGTTGTCATATGAAGTGGTGGAAACTAGTGGTGTCCACCAGGGATGCCCAATGTCCCCATTCACGTTTAATTTCATCATAAACGTAATAATGGAACTAACCCTAACTTACTTCAGCGACTCAGGGATTGACTTGTTACCAGGCTATGGATAATCTCGTTGACTTAGAATATGCAGATGATTTAGTCTTGCTGCCAGGTGAAGACGACAAAATGCAGTCTTTCGAACACCCTGAGCAGCAGCCGTCGAATGTTTGGCTTGCGATTCGCTCCCCTTCTCAAATGTAAGATGATGCTACAAGACTGGACTACATTGACTCCCAGCTTAGAAGTAGGGAGTGAAGCGGTAGAGCGTTTTGACCACTTCACCTGTTTGGGGGGTTGCATCGGCCAGTGCCAGCGGGTTGATACAGAAGGCTCGTTTAGTACACGCCACATTGATCCATCTTTAACGTAGACGTGATATCCGGCTGTTAACTAAAGGGCGTATGTACTGTTCAGCAGTTCTCTTTGTACTCCTTTATGACTGTGAGAGACGGCCACTGAAAGTAGAAGACATGAAAAGGCCGGCTAGCTGTCTTTGATCATTGGTGTCTGCGTTCTATTTCCCGTCTTAAGTGGTACAATAAGGTGAGCAATATTGACATTAGGCGTCGAGTGATAGATAAGGAGGGGAAATCAATCGACAAGACTGTGAATTTACACCGATTGAGGCGGTTACGACATTTGTTACGCATACCCAGCTATCACCTTTCTCGACGGGCAATGTTAACTGATCTAGGATAAAGCTGGAAAAGAGCTAGTGGTGTCAAACGAAAGCCACAACAGCTAGTTTAAGCCAGTCACGTAGGGAGGTGTAAACCTCCTGGTTGGGGGTCTTCGGGATGGTAAAAACCAATGGCTGCGGACAATCGGTGATATGGCTCACAATGCTCATTCTCACTGGCGCAGATGCATCCATTCCTTGTGATTTATTATATGTAATAGAATTCCATTGTTCTTCAATATTACTGTTCTTTTTCCTTCACACCTCTGTTTATTATCTGTCCCTGTTTTGAATCTATCTATACCCTCCCCTCTCGCTTCGTGGGCTACATTGCCTTCTGTGCAAAGTTCTACGTTAAATGTGGTCAGTCAGTCAGTCTACATATCTAGTACAAGTGATGATATCTCACTGCATTTTATTCTGGCAAATATATTATTGTGATCCCTACTATTTTCTTCTTTTGTATAACATGAAAGGGCATAACTTAGTCCAGATTCAATTACTCTATTAGGGAAGGGATTACAGGACAAGAGGATAAATACTAGGCTGTCTTGATAACCGTGACGCAATCAGCTATTGGAGTTAGCGTTATGAAAAACTGATTTTAGGGAAATAAGTGAGGTAGCTTGTAGAAGGAATGTAGGACAGTGTCCTCACACTTTAAATATCCAGCCCACCCGTTATCCGATAGTCTCACCGTGATTATTATTTCTCTGGTCTGAAATGAAAAGACATCAGCTGGCAAATCTAGAGCTTCAGAATGAACCTTTCAGATAATGGAGAAATGTAATGTCTCATACATGTCTATGAGTTGTGAGGAAATGTATTGATACTACCTGCTATCCAGGAGGTAGGTACGAAGGATAATTTGGAGGCGCTTGTTTTCATGAGCAAAAAGATGACTACTTATCACTGACAGCTAATCAGATATACTTTACAGACGTTTAATGCACCTGAAATGGTCGAAATTCAGTATTAGCGTTACCCGAGAATCAATTATCCTAAAATTCATACTTAACCACAGATGATCTTACACTGTGGCATTTCTTCTATGAATAGGATAGTGAAAATTTGTAAACAAGCATTAAACTAAGGTTTATACTCCTATTTGTCGTTTTAACAGATTGTTTGGTTGGAAGTTACTATTTTCAGCGAACCATTTTCTGTTGATTGATAAACAAAATATGTACTGAGTGTATTTTTACACCCTAGTTAATGACTCCGATTAAAATAAAAGTTTTCTTTCTTAAAGTGTCTTTTGGTTCCTATATGCTATAATGAGTATGTCTCAGTGTACTGATAAATAAAGATACGAAAGCTACTTGATAAGAATTCATGGGATTGCGATATGTTAAATTACTCACCATCACGTGTCGTTCGTTCTACTCAGATTCAAGATGCAAGAGACTCTACAAAGTCTGATTTTACGGGTTCACTGCATCAGATGTGGGGATTCTGTGGAAAATAATGTTGACAAAATGACGGAATAGCAAAGCCGTAGACACTGTTGACTTGAATTCATTTCGACAATTTACTTGTATCTTTGATCAGAAGTAATGCTGTAACTCAGCCGCTAACTGTGACTTATACGATGGATTTGTATGAAGCAATGAGTGGCGATATGAATAAACGCGGGAATGACGAAAAATTGTTCTGTGTTTGCTGAATCACCTTGGTAATCATGAATAAATTCATATAAAAACAAGTGTCAGTTTCTATGCCTCCATGTAAATTTCGTCACCAATCAACTTCAACAAAAGAGTCATTGAAGATCCACTAATTAGTTCGCAACCTGGTAGGGCTATGACTGAGCACTTTGAATAGCCTTTAACTAATGCAGGACAGATGTCTGGAATCCACTGACTCAGTAGCTGATGTCGTTTCATGGAGAAATCTACATTGATTACGATCAAGTTCCTACAAATCCAAAATCTGAATTCTTAGTTTTGTTGTCACTGTAATTTACAACTTCTATAACACAGTAAACATTGAATTACTTTTTGATAATAATCAATTCATAACAAATTCAATCACAGTAGAGTTATTTTGAGAAAATTTGAGCGGACAAGGAATGTATAAGTACAAAATAAATTTTATCTTACATAAGTGACTGCATCTTTTCATGGAAAAATATCTTTTTGGAAGTACAATGCTGATAACTAAGAAATATTACTTCAAACTCTGTGTGATAAATATAGAGAGAATGGTCAAATTAACATTATTCCTTGTTTTCGTATTCTTGAGAATAACGAAATGAGCATAAAAAGAAAAAAGAAATTACATTCACTCTTTGAATCTGGAAACTAAAAAAATGCCACTCAAATTTGTCATACATTATGAATATTCTGGTCTGATTACATTATCATGATGAGGTATGGTTAGTTTACCGGAATTCATTGCAGTTAAAATACAATTTAACGCTTTAGCCTGTTGAAAGCCATAAGCTGCTTGAATTTGAATACTAGAAAATTGAGAAGTTGAATTGGCGTTTCCTTTTCCAATTGATGCAACTGATTGTGGTGTATCTTGTGCACATTCAAATAATGTCATACTCCATATGAGGGAAAGATTGCCCAAATTCATTTTATTCTCTTCTCTATAACGACTTACACTGTAAGGTGTAAAAAAGTAGGGATTAATTTAAAGATGAACTGGTGTGATTAGTTAGACTTAAATAACCTATTTGTGCATATTTTATGAATTTATATTTGCTTCATATGAACTGTGATCAAGATTTGACCGGATAGTTGCAAAATAATTGAGCGCTGAGTGAGAAGTAGACATTTATAAAATTATATTTGTAAAATCTCAGCGAAATTGCTTCTTTTCAAGTATTGATTTGTAGGGATTTGATTGATTGGTTACAGGATTTCATCATGAGCTGACATCGGTTACAGAACCATTGGAAAACAAGCTGGGAGTACTGGACAGCTGTTTCGTCCTTGTTTGGGACTCTTCATCAGTACCCACTTCTTTACTTCTTTATTGTCTTGTAATCTTTTGTTTGAATAAAGTAAGAACGATGATGCTTAAGGAATAAAACGGATGAAATGAACCCCTGTTGCTGTGTTGCAGCTATGTTTATTTGTGCTTTGTTCAGATCAACCATTGTAACCGATTGCATGAAGTAATTCTCCATCTTAGTTGAATATCATACTAAAAACTACACCTTGAAATAATTCATTATTCAGTGAACTCGGGTATGCCTGACATTATGGATACACTAACTTGGACGTCTATAAAAAGTCCTTCAAATTACGCGTATTTACTATGTAGTCATCTGATTGGTTGATGAAAGTCATTATGGTGGCCATTTACTTGGGTAGCCATAGTTTGGGATTATCCATGTTCGTTTTATGAACAAAACAGGAATGATTCTTCAACTCTTTTATATCTTATCTAAAGACATCACTGAAAGTAAACAATAATGATTATCGTAACATTTCCCATTTCATTGTATCTTTTCCGGGGTGAGTGACCCATAACCTTGGTCCCACGTTTTCTACTAATTTCTATATAAATATGCCGAAAGGGTTGTTGAAAGAAGACACTTTGTGTAGGATTAAATCTACCTTATAAAGTTAGCACTTATATATGATACTAATCAGATAAATGTGGGCTGGCATAAACCTAACAGGGAATGAGTACCTAATAACTCACACTAACAAATTTCACATAAGGATATAGAAATGGCATTCAAAAAGATAGTAAACACTGATCACATATTGTGATTTGCTTGATGCAACTACCAATCTCAATCAATTATTATTATTATTGTTCCCTTGGGTTCCGAGGGGAACATAAGGCTTCAACAACACATCTTCACTTTCTTCTTTTTTCTGCCACCATCTTCGGCTGTGTCCATGATTACCTAAGCTCTCTCATTTTTTCCTCACATGACCGCCTCCATATCATCCTCGCACTGACGACCCACCCGTCTCTTCTCTTTTGGATTCCACTCGAGGGCCTGAAGCGCGATGTCATTTGACGGTCTCCTCAATGTATGCCCGATCCATCTCCATTTTCTGCTACACATTTTTTGAGCAATCGGCTCTTGATTGGTTTGTTCCCAGGCTGAGTTTCTTGTTACTAATTCTTTCTGGCCATTTGATCTTTAGCATGGAACAAGTGAAGGCAGCTGTTGATAAAAGTCTGCAGTACCCTGTTGGAAATCCTTTTCGTGATACGCAGTGCAAGTTTCTGACCCGTATTGAAGCACTGATCGACTTGACATTTGTATTGAAAATGCGCATCTTGTTGTTTATGCTGTCGAGTACAGTGCAGAAGATTTCCAAACTGGTTTCAGGTTGTTGAAGGCGTAACTTGCCTTTCCGATTCTGACTTGACATCTTCGTCCGTTCCGCCTGTAGTTGAAACGATGCTTGCTACTTAAGTGAAGGCAGTAACCTCTGTTAAATCTCTCCCATTGATTGTGATTGGTTCTGCTTGTTGTTGTTATTGTTGCGGTTCGTTGGTCATCTTCATCACCTCCGTCTTCTCTATGCTCACCTGAAGTCCTGCCTTCGCTAGCACCCTGCCTCTTCTTCCAGTTTTTTGGTTTTCGCCTACAAGTCTTCGAGATTGTATGACGTTAGACATATATCATCCACGAGCGAAATCCAGATCTTCTTGAGTCTTCTTATCGGTGATCCAGCGTGTTCTTGACTCCTCGCTCCCAAGCATAGTCTGACGCATAATTCAGTACACCACAATTGAGAATATCATCGTTGGTGATAGTAGGCAGCCAGCTTGTCTTACTCGTGTATGCGCTTCGAATGCCCCACCGAGTTTTTCGTTGTGGATAACTTGATACGTGCCACTGTCATGTACCTGCTGAATGAGGTTGATAAAGACCTGAGGTAAACCGTAGTGTCGAATTAGTTTCCAAATTACTTCTCGATCAACACTGTCTGTCGAAGGCCTTTTCAAAGTCAATGAAGTTGAGGTAGATAGAGTTTTGACTGCCATTCTATGCTTCGTTCCGTGATGACGATGCGAAGAGTTGTAGTTTGATAAGCATATGATTCGCCTTTCCTGAATCCAGCTTGTTCTGGTCGGTGGGGCGGATTTCTGCATCCAGTACATATTTCATTCTTTCCAGGATGATGCGACATAATATTTTACTTGGCGTGGACAACCTCAATCATTTAGATATAATAGAGAAGAAGTATGCGCTGAAGATGTTGCCCAGTAGAGCAATGAAAGCTTCGCAACCAAACCATCCAGCTCAGAGAACACAACCACACCAAAACAACCTCAATCAATTAGTAGTCTTCAATTTTATGCAAATATGTTTGCTTTCTTGATTACCATTTCCGGTATCAAGCAGATCATAAACTGTGATCTGAATGTTTTAGTTTCCAGAGAAAATTGTGCATTTTCAAAGTGTATAGATTACATATTACTGACTATTTAGCAAATTGTAAATCTGATTTGCGGCAACACCAGTTCACCCAGGTAGCTAACGAGAAATCGAGTGGTTTGAAATGATTCGGCTCTTTGAGTTGAGTCAAATAGGGTGCACCACTGATGAGTTTGGCTCCAAAAGAATGAAACGCCTGCCGGGTGTTTAGATTAATTCGATATGATTAGCGAGCACTGCTGGTTGATGTGAGTGGCATACAACTACTTATCTCCCTCAATCAGTAGTATATCATTTTATGCAGAAAATCACAAAGCGAGAATACAGCTATTGGATATCACTAATTGCGTAAATTCAAAGAAGAGATTGATTTTTGCTGATGTAATCAGTTTGAGTTATATCTCTCTTAGTCAGTATGTGTCAATTAGACGTTTTGTACATGACATGATGATCTCCCCTGAGGAATTTAGCTTTTATGTAACATATTCGTTCTAATATAATTATTCATTTGTTTTCAAATTTTTCTGAATAGTATGTTAGCCATAAAATTACGGTGATAAGGTTAAATTCACTGTTTCAACACCTAACTAGATAAGTTCAAGATTCAATAAATCTATGATGTCAAATGCATGCAGAAAAACAAATCTTAGATTTGCTTTCAAGTCTCATCTATGCAAACATTTAGCAGTGAATTAACACTGAATAATTACGTCACATCACATAAATAACATCATATGTTGGTTATATTTAGCAAAGTCATGTATAAGTCACATTCTAGAAGGTATTTACCACAAGAAAACACTTTAAATTTGACCTGTGGTTATATTTTTTCCGAATTGGGTATTGCTTTTAGGAAGGTAAAATATTGGTATTTTAGTACTGTATATATGTAATAAAGACCGAATAGTAGTAATACCACGATACGATAAACACAACTTAACATTATAAAATATGTAGTCACTTTCTTCTTTGTAATGCTGTTTGTCATGAAAGAGGCACAGCTAAATTTCTTAACTGTCGTCATATAATAATGTCTTATGCCCGATTTTGCGCTGGGTTTTTTACAACGTCTTAAAGACACAAAGGTATTTGCTGATGCTTGCCATCAGGACAAACAAGCTACATGAATAGCAGAGCTTAGTTCAAATGTATTCCATAGGTGATGCAGATTAGCGTTAGTCAAAACAACCAATCCCCATTTTTCCAGTATGTCTTTCTCATTCGTATATCCCGTCTATTACTGAGAGGCTTGGTTGAATTCATCTGGATACTAGTGGTGAGGTCTATTTTTTGCAGTTAACTAGAGGCGGTATTCAGAACGAGTGTTTCATCTGATTAAGAACCTGTAGTTTGAATGCGCCTGTATCAATATCTGTCGTTTAATCGCATCAAATGCTAAAGTAACCAGTATTACTGTTTTTATTTATTAATCAAACTTAAAAGACTGTTCTGGTATAGGAAGTCTTCGAAAGCATGTTGATTTTACTTCACTGAGACAAATGAGACATAATAATGAATGACTAGTCATTACCACACGGAGGAAATCCAGCAGAAACTCCAGTCACTTTTGGGAGGGGAAACTATTTATCCGAACAGGTCACTTAATTTTGTTCACTAAGGTATTACAAGTGGTATAGATAAGTAACAATGATATATATATATATATATATATATATATATATATATATATATATATATATATATATAGTTTCCTGTCATTTCTGCTCACATGAAAGTGATTCACACTTGACTTACGTGATTAAATGATGGGCTAGGTAATTAAATGTCTCCAGATTTGTGGTTGGGAGGTCATAGAGAATATCATGAATGACTTGGTAACGAACGGATTCATCTTCGATTTCTATGAGAAAAGAGATATGAAACTGAAGTGACCATGAATTAACAAAAGGATTTATTTTTACGAGATGATCACGGACTGATATCAGTTAGAGAACCACTGAAAACCAGCCACAGGGTGTACTGGACATCTGTTTCATCCTAGTGCTTGGGAATCATCGGCACTACGAACCCACCGCCAGGGTTCGAACCCAGCACCTTCCGGTTACAAGGCAAGCTCGTGTACTATCCAGCCACTGGGACATGATTCAATGGCTAGTCCATGAATTCTAACTTCTAATAATTCGGCATTAAGCGCGACTGCGACCAATGTTGTCGGTGAGACATCCATCCTCACACTTGACTGCATGGACCTCACTGGTCACGACTTCTCACTAGAACTCCAGAAAGCTCCGTCCTGTAGCAAGTCACTAGTGAGCACCAGATTAATTTTCTATAGTTAGTTTGTAAGGATTAGTTTTGTTTTTACGAGTATGACGACAGATTGATATCAGTTAGAGAACCATTGACATCAATCCGTGATCATCTCGTAAAAACAAAACTAATCCTTACAAACCAACTATAGAAAAGCATTTATGTAATTAAGGTAAAACCCTTTTCAAACATTCACTTAGGTTTGATATCATTGTTTCCGCTTTTTAGAGCAGTTGCATTTCGTGGAGTTACATCATATATGTCACATACATCGAGTGTCGACATTGGCGAGTTAAACTAACCGCCTGTTATCGACACATGGCTTTCTCATGTTGGAGATTGCGTAGAACTTTACAGTGCCCTTTTATTAATTATAAGTCTTTGTTATATGGTTCTTGCATAATATCATTTCGTATACTTATCTTAATTTTCAAGAGTTGGTTTTTAAGGATTTGATTTGTTTTTCAAGTTTGACGACGGACTGATGTGACTTAAATAACCATTGAGAACTAGGGTGTACTGGAGAGCCATTTCATCCTAGTTTGGTACTTGTCAGCAGTACGCACCCGCCGGGTATTTACTTGAATAAATTCTTAGCGTTTTTGACGTATGAGTATTGGTTCAATATATTATTATTATTATTATTATTGTTCCCTTGGGTTCCTAGTGGAACATAGAGCTTCAACTACACGTCTCCACTTGCTTCTGTCTTCTGCTGTACTTTTCACCTGCAACCATGTTAATCCATACTGTTTCAACTCTTCTTCACACGATCTCCTCCATGTCACCCTTGGACGTCCCACTCGCCACTTCCCCTTCGGGCTCCACTCGAGCTATGGCATGACGTGCGATGTCACTCAGTGGCCTCCTCAGCGAGTGTCCAATCCATCTCCACTTTCTCCTGCATATTTGTTGGGCGATTGGTTCTTGTTTTGTTTGTTCCCATAGCTTCTTGTTGGCGATTCTTTCCAGTCATCTGATCTTCAGTATAGAATGAAGGCAGCTGTTGATAAAGGTGTGCAACAGGCTGTTGGAAATATTCTTTGTGACCCACTGGCTAAGTTTCTTATCCGTATAGAAGAACTGACTTGACGTTTGTGTTGGAAATTTGAATCATTTTGTTGTTGATGCTGAGTTGAGTAACGAGGATTTCCAGATTGGTTTCAAGTTGATGAATGTGTTTCTCGCCTTTCCGATTCTCGATTTGACATCCTCGTCCATTCCTCCTGTAGTTGAGACGATGCTCCCTAGATAAGTGAATGAAGTAACCTCTTTCAAATCCCTCCCGTTGATGGTGATTGGCGCTGGATGTTGCTGCTGTTGTTGTTTTTGGCTGGTTATTTTCATAACCTCCGTCTTGTCTATGTTCACCTGGAGTCCTTTCTTTGCTGCTTCTTCGATCAGTTTGTCAGTTTTCGCTTGTAAGTCTTCGATTTTGTGTGACATCAAACATAAATCATCCACGCACGAAATCCAGGTCTTCTAGGTTCTTCACGTCAGTCCAGGATATCCCTGTCTTCTCGTTTCCCACTGTCTCACGCATAATCCAGTCCACCACAATTAGGAATATCATTGGTGATAATAAGCACCCTTGTCTGACTCCTGTGTTTACTCCAAAAGCCTCGCTGAGTTTTCCGTTGTGGATCACTTGATATGTGCCGTTGTCGTACAGCTTTTGAATAAGGTTGATGAATATTTCGGGTACGCCGTAGTACTTGAGTAGGTTCCAAATTACTTCGCGGTCAACGCTTTTTTAATAAAAGAAATTATGATAACATCTTTTCCATTTTGATATTTGTGCTGGTTTCTCAATCAAGTTAAGAAGTAACTTTTCGCAAAATTAGTACTAACTTGAACTTGTATCCAGAATCATACAAGCGCCACACTGATTGTAGTAATGTGGTGAGAGCGGTCTACTAGCCAAGTGGTGGACAGTAATTGAGGTCAATGTTTATGTATCAAATATTAGTCATGTTGTGGTGAGAGATGGTTGCTGGCCAAATTGGTTGACAGTAATCGAGGTCAAAGGTCAAGGTGGACAGGCGGTTACAGTTAACATATAGATGAACTGACACAGCCACAAGAGATGCAAGGTTAACTTTGTGTGAGAAACAACCAATCAACAGACTGTATTTTCTACTAACATTGACCTTCAATAATGTACATAAAAATCTATAAATACGTGTTGATTTTTCGTAATAAACGATCTGTTGCCTGGCCCTTGTCTTCTGTTGTTACATTTGGTGTCGCTGCCTACCGACAAATGGAAAGCCTTTGCCCTGCAGTTTTTGATGAAGACATATGGATCTTCGGGCAGGACTTTGAGGCTTATTCGCAGTTGAGTGGCGTTCAAGATCTGTCAGCGATAAGGCTGCTACTTGGGACGCTGCTGGGAGGTCGGGAGAAAGCAGCATATGGAAGTGTGAGGCGAAATACCTACGAATGTGCGACAGGGTCAGGCAAACAGTTTCCACAGTGGGAAGGACCATATATGGTCACGTTGAGATGGGGTTACGCAGACGCAATCGCAATGGTAAACACCGTTAAACAAGTGGACATCCGCAAGCGCCGAGGTTCCAGACAGCTAGACAACAGAGCAAAGCCCCAAGAACCGAGAAGACCGAGCCGAATTCAGTCCAAGCTATTTGACGGGGGGACGAGTGTGGTGAGAGCGGTCTACTAGCCAAGTGGTGGACAGTAATTGAGGTCAATGTTTATGTATCAAATATTAGTCATGTTGTGGTGAGAGATGGTTGCTGGCCAAATTGGTTGACAGTAATCGAGGTCAAAGGTCAAGGTGGACAGGCGGTTACAGTTAACATATAGATGAACTGACACAGCCACAAGAGATGCAAGGTTAACTTTGTGTGAGAAACAACCAATCAACAGACTGTATTTTCTACTAACATTGACCTTCAATAATGTACATAAAAATCTATAAATACGTGTTGATTTTTCGTAATAAACGATCTGTTGCCTGGCCCTTGTCTTCTGTTGTTACAGTAATAATGTTGTATTAATAGGATAGCCGAAATTCAGACAACTGATCTGTGAAACAGCAAGCATATGTATGTATATATTATTATACACGTGAGGTACTTACAAATTGCTTCGAAAAATCAAAACAGATTTTTCTGAACACTTCTCTGTGTAAGCCACACCTTCATCTGCTCAAAAAGCTGTTATTGTAACAAGTTTGGAAATAACCGAAATTAAATTAAAATTAGATTCTGACACCCTTTGCACCCTACCCAAGTCGGCCAGTGGATGACACTGTGGTGTTTGTAACGACGGCTAATGGGTTTGAGTCTCGGTGGGAATGCCATCATTCACTGGGAAATGCAGGTACATCCAGCTGATGAGTCACACACACACACTAAATACGCATCCTGGATTAGTCACCATCCACCAAATCAATAATCCACAGAATTGTAGTACAGACACACACATTAATAAACATACACCCAGTCAGTGATTGTCTTATGTATGGTAATGATTAACAAAGTTAGCATATTGTTTATGTGAATGCATCACCTGTGACCATATATAGGATTAGAAAGTGAATATACAAACCAGTATGACTCATGTTTTATGAATGTGAATTAGATATGCGACTGTATGAATGTTTACAAATCGCCACAGCATTCCATTAAAATACAGCAGGATAACCTATGTAGTATGTTTATCTGCGAAATGCATCAGGTATAAGTAGAATCACACTAGATGGTGTGAGCTTTCTGTTTATTTATAGACTGAGTGAACCAGTTTAAAGTCAAGCTATTTGGCCTTCGCCACTTACATCAATGTTGGTTTGCAAATAAGATAATTCTAGCTGGGATAACATGAAGATCTTGGTTTGTTGCGTAGCTTAGTGTGTCTGCAGTTATTTGTACAACTAGAGTCAAAAATTAACTGGTAATCATGGGACAGAGAATTCCTGGTTGAATTTAAAGTTTAGCAGAAGGGGTGAGTGACGAATGAAGTTGCGAAGAGAGGAAATGAACATTAGTGAAAAACAACATAAAGAGGCATGAAATGAAGACGACAGAAGCGGAAGATAAATAACTGTTGCAAGCCAAAATTTCCCTGTGACGTTTTTATGCATCATCTTTGTTGTATATTATATTGCCAAATAAACACTTTCAAGTCTTGATCAACGGGGTCCAACATGTTGGAAGTGAGGGCGAATGATCGCCAATCACATTGGCTTATTGGCTCGCGAAAATCACGTATTGGTAGGAAGAGAAATTTACGGGTCACTGCGGCTGAATGACTTAAGAGGTAGATTTGTAACCGGAAAGTACTAGGTGGGTGCATGACAATGAAGAGTCCCAAACTGGGACGAAACAGTTGTCCAGTACTCCCTGATTTTCATTACATTTTAACCTGAAACAAATCAAACCCCTACAAACTTACTCTTGAAAAATAAACAATTTGTTTTACCAAATCACACCATATTCAGTTGTTCCGACATAACCAGAGTCAGAATCATATTTTATTCAGGCTGAAAATGTATGAGTGCAGGATGATAACCAATCTGTGTTCAAGAAATTCACTATATGGTGATTTGGAACTTGCGTAGAAAGAAGA